CAAAGCAATGCATCAAAATGATAGCAAATATTATTTGCAATTTTGCACTGTTTCAGGGCCAAGACTTGAAACACTAGAATTAGTGACACTGTTAACACAATTAGAAACTCTAAAAATAGTCCTGGAACGCCATTTTGGTCGTGTTTACGTTGTCAAGATACAACTTTTTTGCTTTTCTTTAGTGCCATGTCACTTTATATTGCAGATTATTTGCACAAGCCACCTCCTCGATAAATAAACTATGTCTAACAAAGGGGATTTCTTGTCCGAAAGCCCACGACAAAAGTCTCGGATACTAGAACAAGTTTCATTTCATTTTCATTTCATTTATTGGTTATTTCAGATATTTACAATTATATTTTCTCACTGCCCACAAATAGCAAAGGCTACAATAGTCTACGTGGGCAGTGTCTGTTTAAAACAGAATACGCACTCATGGTATTATATCAAATTATTAAACAGGTCCACAGAAAGTTATTTAAACTTATATAAATATATTAAGTTGTACAAAAGGTAAGGAACAGAAAAAAGGTTACGTTAAAAACATAGCTGAGATTAACTTTTCAGTTTATTTTTCTGAAAACTGTGAATTTTTCCCCTTCTGGTTGGTGTCAACTCTCGTAACCGCAAGTGTTTGGAAAATTATTTCAATGTTATCAATGAAACCACCCTATTTACTTTTTAAAACGACTTCCTAATTTTATTGTTGCATTTTTGCTATTCCTTCGGTTCAGACCTAGCCTGTGAAAACATACGTTTCCTCTCCCTCTTCGCCGCTGGGGACGTTTCACGAGGAGGAACGTCTGCGACTCAGCGGCAGAAATTCCATACTGATGACGCAAATCAATATTTACGTAATAAATGCGGTTGTCATGGGGTTCCAAATATAAATTTGTCCAATTTTACGTGTCTTCTGGTCGATTTTGGTAAAGTGTTGTGTTCATCTGCCAAAGAGCTCCAGCAAAACTCAAACGCTTCCTCTAGAAAAGACTATATTCCACAAATATTGACTGTTTGGTTAGAGGCTCTTCGCGTTTACATTTGACCTAAAACAATGTAACTACTCCGTCGACCAATCAGCGCTTCGGACCGGATTCCGGACAGATTTTACGTCATCAGTATGGAATTTCTGTCGCTAAGTCGCAGACGTTCCTCCGCGCGAACGTCCCCAGCGGCGAAGAGCGAGGAGAAACGGATGTTTTCGCAGGCTAGGTTTGAACCGAAGGAATGAATATTGAACTGTTTCTACTTCTTATTTTTATTGCAAAATCATTTACCTGTTTATTATTCTATCTAGTATTTATAATTGTAGTTAATCATTAACCACTTTAGTGAATTTAAAATTCAAATTTTAGGAGCTGTTAAAAGATGTTTTCTCTCGGTTTAGCTCTGGCCCTGAGGAAGGCTAATTTTCTTAGCCGCAATATTGGCCTATAATAAATCAGCCCTTTGCCGTCGTGCCAGCCAACACCGCGGCAAAACACACTGCGCTAACTAATTTCGCGAATATTCGGGAGCCGGATTTCCCGAGAACTAACTTTTGCGATTGCAAAAAAAATTAGAGAAAAAGTGTACTACATTTCGCGATTTTTCGTTAATCCTGAGCGGAGGGCACTTGTCACAAATCAATAAAACATATATTTCAAAGCAAGATTGTAAACTTACAACTGTCCTACATAGAACCTTATGAACAAGACAAAACATAACTGCTTGCTGTGTATACTGTCTCTGCAAAGTATATCATACAGTTCAGTACTTAAAACGCAACTTGAGATGTTCAGTAAATGTGCACAGTACAAAAACAGGAGTCGACCAGAAAGACGACGAAACCGCAGTACAGGGTGATAGGGATACTATCCTCAAGGGATCCTCTGGATGGATTTGTATTTTTCCGTTGACCACTGATGCAATGCCAGCTTTCTCCCATCCTTTCGCGATATTGCGTTTCCCCTCGCAGCTGGTGAGGTGGTTATACAAGCTTACTAGCCAGGTTGCATGTAAAGGTTTGTTAACGGAGAGTCTCAGATCAACTTCAATCTCCTCATTGGTACATTTGAGTCTGAATTTCGATGGTATACCAGCTGGTAAACTGACCGAATTACAAGCAGAAGAGAGCAGTGAATCAGAAGAAGAGTGCTAGATGTAGTTACCATAAATGATCGATTAAGGTCCGCTAATCGAATAAGCAACGCACCCTTACTGAAAATAATTTAACAAACACCGCTCTCGAATAAGCGAATTTGGGTATTTACAAATTAACGTCCCACCTTTGTTACGGCGCTTGGTAAAAAGAGATATCAAAGCCATATCGCTTGAGAAATAAGACCTCGCCCAGCTCGTGAGTTCTAAAGTTTTGATGTCGGGAAACTCTTGACACCGGGTTCACATAACGTCAGTTCGATGCGCACATATTTTATATTAAATTGTGAATACCTAGGACGTGCCTCACTTAATTGTCTCTATGTTCCCCTCAGTGATTGATCCGTAGTTGTAAATAAGCGTCGCTTTCGAATAAGCGCCGCTCCTACAACAGAAAAAAATATATTATGCGCCGAGGCGCTTAATCAGTCATTTACGGTAAGACCAGAAAGACGTTTTCAAAAAACACCCGGACTCAGAACATTTTTAAAATTCTTATTGTTTTGTTTTCGAAAATGGTTTCAACTATTCGTCTGTTCGAATTTCGCGCAATCTTTTATTTGCGCATATTAAATTTCGCGAATTTTTTAAAATCGGGAAATTTTATACGCGTAAACAAAAGATTGCGCGAAATTCAAACACGCGAACAGTTAAAACCATTTTCGATGGGAGCTAAAACTAGTAAGAATAAGATAATTAATCATACTTTTCGCAATCTTTTACAATGATTTTCTGCACATAGTTATATAACTGCTAATGATCCTTTCATTCAGGTTTCATAAAGGCAGCAGTTTTATGGACTTGTTATTACCCTTTTGTCTTGTTTACGATACTAGAGACCTTAAGATACGAGGACGGGAAGATCTAGGACGGCTACCGGAAGTGAATTTGACCTTTGAAACATGCGCACGAGTACCTACCGCCCAGCTCATTCCCGTCCTGCTCTCGTAGAGGACGCCATTAGGGAGTTTAAGATACGGAGACTACGGACTACGAACTACGGCTGGACGAGCGTTGTCCTTTGTTCGTAGCACTGGGTTGAGTCGTGTAAATATAGAACGTTAAGATTGCACTACAGACAGTAGACTACGACAGAAGAGGCGGAAAGGGAAACAACACGCAAAGATTTTCTTGTTTTCATCACAGTTCACAAAAATACAAGTCAGTTTTGCATGTGATCTTACCTTTAGAACGATGAACAAATTCTTCCATACTTGAAGGAAGCAATTACGTCGGGTGAAATTGGTAAACAAAGTTTTGCTTACACAGGTTTTATTTTTTCGCCCATGAATACTTATGTCAAATATTAAAGATATAGACAGAAATAGTAATAGCTCATTTATTAGATTTAGAAGATGGACTTCTCCGACTACTGATCTGATGTAGTTTGAAGTATTGAAATGCCGAGTTTCGATTGTCTCGAGCATGTTTACATCACTTTCATTTAGCAAATGGCGCGATACAAAAACTCGCATAAATAAAGGTTACACAAGTACAAAGACTCACTAATCAGTTCGAACAAACATTGAAACTTTTCAAGTGCGAAGAGAAAGTAAATTACCTGCATGATTTCTCTTCTCCTAGGCCGTCAATCTGAATTCTGCGTATAAACAGCTAAGCTTATTTAACATGAGCTTAGCAAGATAAAAATGTAGTCACAACAGTGGATTAAAAGAGTAAATCTGAGCAGAAATTAGACACAACTTACATATTTCGCTTCTGTCTCACTTAAAGCAGGTGAATTGAAAACTTTTTTAAGAAAAGACGAGATTCTTGAATTACCGAGACGGCAAAATACGAGCAAAATGTTCTCCGTAGTCCCGACTACGCGAAACAGCTCAACAACTCACCGTAGCCGCAGGACTACGCGGGAAAAATGAACAGTCACGTGGTTTTGATCATGCGCAGTAGCATATTTATCCGTAGCCGTAGTCCGTAGTCGCCGTATCTTAAACTCCCTATTTATGCCTTTTTGCCGTCCTGTCGGGAACGTGAGTATTCTTCTTTTTATTTTGATTCATAAAATACCAGAAGCGACCGTTTTTTTAGGTTTGGAAAAAGCATTTCATGAAGGTGACATTTGTCGTGACTTCAAGCGATAAACTGATAATTGCCGTGTGGAAAAAAGTATGTAAAAATGTGTTTGTTTTTTGTCTCAGTGTCCAATCATCATGAGTGTTAATTCAGCCAAGAGGATCCATTCTCCGTGAGTATTGTTAAACTAAAAAATTATAATAGCATCAGTTGGTCTTAAATTCAGTTGCCAGTGACTAAGTATTTTTTCTTTCGTATATCTGCTCATGGCATAAAGGAGATTGTCTGATGGAGTTCACAACAGCAATAAAATCGGAAAGTGCAAAAACATAAGCGTATTTTATTAGTTCTTCATTTGTGTTTATTACTATCCCTATAGCTGCGAAACAGAAGGTATAAACATTTAACCGGTTGGAATTTGGCTCTCACTTAATGCAGGGGCACCCAACGAGAATATAGTTCAAAACCACGTAAACATGGCATTTTTGAACGTATTTTAGTATTTAAACCGTAGATAAAGGCATATTTTTATCCCCTAAAAATTTTTCATCTGTTCGGATTTCCTAGCTGAAAGTCTAGTGATCCGAAAATTATAGGGATCAAACCTTACCTTTTCGAAAATTTCAGCCAGAAACAAGGCTTCCGACAATTCTAGGTGACCTTTTTAGGGTAAAAATCCGTTAAAATGGGCAATTATACCATTTTTTAGATGTTCGAAAATCCTAGGAGAGGCAGGCAAGCAACAAATTTTACAAAAAATGATCCGAAAATTCTAGATCTCAAATCGTCTTCCGAACAGATAATTTTCCGAAAATTGTTATCATGTTTTAGGAAACCAATGATTTGGAATGAAGAAAAGGATGAGCTGCTTTGTAGAGAAATCTTGGTTGTCAATGTGTTTTGTGGCACCAAAAGGAGTACTGTGGCAAGAGGGGTAAAATGGGAAAAGGTAGCTGAAAACCTAAACAAACTCCAAGATGTATATGTTAAAGTGGATAAGAGGACAGTTCGTGACCGCTATAACAATCTTGCAAGGGATCTGAAGAAAAAATCAGAAATGAAGAGAAAGCAAGTGGTATAGAGACTGAGATGACAAACTTGGAGAAAGCTTTGGAAGATTTGATTGAAAGAGAGGATGCGGCTGAGTCTGAGCAGAGAGTAGTTGATGACCAGAAGAAACAAGATAGAGAAAATGCAACAGACATGAGAAAAAGAGCAATGGAAAGTATTGGGCAGACAAAGAAGAGGAAAGAGTCCAATGATGATGAAAATGAAGGAAGAAAATTTAAGAAGAGGTCAAGTGGTAATGCAACAGTAGCCTATCTGAGAGAAAAAAATGAACATCTTCAGGAAATGCATAAGGAAGAATTAGAAATAAAAAGGATGCAGTTGGAAAGAGAAGGAAATTTGATGAAACTCATGGTCAGTCAACAACAACAGCAACAAAAATAGATGCAGGAGTTCCAAACCATGATGAGCATGCAAGCAAAGCAGCAAAGTGATTTGATGCTGGCTCTTGTCACAAAGCTGATTGACAAGCACTAGAAAAAACAAAGTGACCAGCTGACTGTTGTTGGGTTTGTTTTCTTTGTTAGGTTCTGGTATGGTCAAATGTGCCTTTAAAATGTAATCAAGACAATTGGGGGTCATTGTTTAGGGACACAATGTTTTGAAACTAAAGTTCTTGTTAACAGAGAGTTTTATTAACTTTCCAACTTTATTATTTGTGAATCCCACTTTAGTTGTTACTTGTAGTATTCTCAAAATTAGAGACGTTTTCACCAAGAAAAGGTACTGGAGCCTAATAAGACTTTGTTTCCCATAGAGCGAAAAAGTTAAAAAGTTTGGTTTTTGAACTAAGGGGCTGTTGTAAACATATCCATTTAAGGATTTTTATTACACTGCTTATTTAATTAAGGAGATTTTAACCACAGCTTTTGAATGGTTCTAATAAAGTTATTTATGAGAAAATTCTTGGGATGTTAATGGTGGGTGGGCAGCCCAGGGCGGGGGGTATTCAACAAATGTTTAGTAATTACTCCTTTCACATACTTTGTTTAGAACTTTGCATCCCCTTTAACTGGTGTAAATGCTCTCTCTGTTAAAAAGGATTCAACCACAAAAATAGGACGACTTTTCAAAACCATAAAATTCATCTGTTAGCCCTTTTGGGCGGAACCTCCTCTTATAGGCCATCATGGGGAGTACCCCCACCCCAGGGTGGGTAGGGGAAATGGGTGGTGTGAAGAAAGTTGGGTGGTCTCGCCAACATAATATTGTCCCCATAAAAGTGAATGATCCATATGGCTTGCTTAATTAGTATCATTATAATATGCCATTGGTTTAGATCAGGGCCCAGTTGTTTGAAGGCCAGTTAGCGCTTAACCCAGGGTTAATTTCGACCTTAAGAGCATCCATTCATCAACTTGTTGACAAAAAGAATTAAACTGAATTTACTTTTTAAGCTTTCATATCTATGAACAACATCCCGGCCCAGATAGCTATAGAAAAGCATTCAATTAAAATAATCGCGTACACTAGGAGGGTTTAGGGCAAAAAACTCTGATGTCGAATTGCCATACATGCAAGTCAAGGCATTGCGAAGAATGGCACATGCCATGTACATTTTCCCAACAGCACTCAGAGAAATTTTCAAGTTTTTTTTAAAGTCGAGAAATTTAAAGTAGTTTATAATGTCACCAAAAAGCCATTCTACAGAAATACGCACAGCACTCATGGCCTTGTTGTACTCCTCCATGCGAGGCGTCATTCCTGCACATCTGTAGGGGACTTGCAAGTGGACACGGAGGGGATAAGCAGGGTCCCCATAAAGAGCCATTGGCTCTACTGCTCGAGAAAAAGCATAATGCTCCAGCTGTTGAAGAAGACCATAATCTGCTAACATGGCAGAATCGTGTTTCTTCCCCTCTGGAAGATAACAGTGAAATAGATTAAATTAGAAGTAAGAGGATTCACAACAAAATATTTTTACATCAATAAAATGCTGCTATAATTTTAATTACCTACTGGGCCATACATGCTGGCTATTATACCATTTGGCAGTGCTACAGACTGGAACTTTAGGGCATGTACTCGCTTATGCCCATTATAAACGATCCTTTGATTCTCTCCAGGCTTACAAATAGGTCGCACCGTTCCATCAATAAAACCAAAACAACTGGACGATGGACTTCCTTTCTGGTATACTGCGTATAGCATAGGTTTCAAGTAATGCAGGACTCAGGAGCGTGTTATTCCACTGAGTAAGTCTATGATGATGTTGCTGGTAAATTGTATCCATGACGAGGTTTGAAATCATACTAAGCTCAGGCACTGGATGACCAAATCGCTGAATCAAATCGCTGTATCTACAAGGATATGCAGCTCTTCTCAGTGCAATGCAAAGCCCTTCAATACCATCACATTTTGTTCCTTGTCGGCATATGAAAGTCTGGGGGAGCTGAAGGGCTTCCAGCAGAACTGGGATGTCAGTTTTATGAACACGAAATTCGGCAAAACACTCGCTGTCGTCCAGGTCATCAAGGGAGAATTCCCCGTAGCACTCGTACGGAAAATCAGGATTTTAAACGTGTTTAAATCATAGAGAAGAAGAAATTCGTCCTCCGATAATTCTCCGTCATCGAAACTGTCGAGGAGAAGGTCGCGAACCTCCCTAAATGATGCCATTAAGTAGTCAAAAAATTGTAAACAATGATACGACACTGATCCGTCCTCGATCTCGTCCTCGCGTTTCTTAAGTTTAGTTTTGGCGCCTTGCGACGGTGAACTCTCCCCAGGTTTCCTCCGCCATGATCCCCCGTCCTAGAATGTCCCGTCCTGGTATCTTAAGGTCTCTACTAAAATCGTCCAAGTGCAACGTCCGCCTCAGTTTCATTTTCTGCATGTATGCCTGAGCTGCTGGAGATATTTCGATTGATAACGTATTATCAAGAAATATCAATCTAAAAGAGTTTCAACGAGCAATGACCGTCCTTGGTAAAAATGCTGCTCTCTTTAGTGGATCGGTAAGAAAAAACCTGAAGGTAATAGAACAATTTCAAGACGCAGAACTATGGCTGGCTCTGGAGCAGGAACAAGAGAAAAGAGGGTCAGTTGGATTACGAGTTGTTGGAGAATGGTGCAAATTTAAGTATAGGAGAACGGAAACTAATCTGCTTGGCTCGCGTGTTGCTGCAACAAAACAAAATCGTCATCTTGGATGAGCCCACTGCTCACGTGGATCCAGATACAGAACGAACAATCTGGAACGTCGTGCATGAAAAACTGAGGGACTCCACCGTTATAACAATAGCTCATCGGTTAAATACCATCAGAAATTGAGACAAGATTTTAGTTTTAGATAGTGGCGAAGTTAATGGTTTTGATAGCTTCCAGGTTCTGTGTAATAGACCCGGAAATAAGTTACACGAAATGGCTCAAAAGACAGAAGTCGCAAAATAGAGGTGACCTGTCCTCCATGCAGATTGTTGGAAGAGACTTTTGGTAGGGGACTACAATGCTTGCCCTTACAACAAAACAACTTCTTCCTGACTCACTGGTTATTTATTGCTCGGCAGTGTAACATCATTTTAGCATCTTGTTCTCTCAATTCTCTTTCCAAGATGGTTGGTGTTCTCTCTCTACATTGTTGTGGAAACCTTGCTTTTATACTGACTAGCAAACCCATCTTCTCAGCTCAAATTAATGCTTACGCAAGTCTTCTATGATTTGTCAGAAGTGACTCATCCGCATGAAACCTTCGAGGCGTTTATCTTTTCAAAATGATTTTTTTTTTCTTAATTTTCACTGTTAAGATAGGGCTGTCCAGTCTGTGGAACAAATACAAAAATTACAAGGTATTGAGTTCTATATAGAGTTTTTACAATACTAGTTTAAAAGATTCTAAAATTGCCGTTTGAAAATTATATCGAGCAGTCGATCCAGGAAAGGTGTCACGTTTCTTCTCCGACTGCGATTGGCTAAACTTGTTTATGAATTAGCTATGCAATGCCAAAAGCACAGCCTTGCGAGCCTGATGACAACACGGGTGGCTACCAACTTCTTACAGGTCATTTACAGCTTGAAGAACCAATACAGCTATGATGTGACCAGGAATTATCTAAACTGTTATTATTATTCCGGACGGAACACTTCTCCACACCCAATAAATGACAGGTGTTGGTATCAGTTGATGATAAAAATCACAATTTCCATTGCTTGCACTGTTATTGTTTAACAAGATTGATCAGGTTATTACGAATTCATTCGCATTTCTACCATTCAAGGTGAGTTAAACGTTCTAAAGGGTTGTCAGGCCTGATGCCTCGCACCGCAAATGCATTAAGCTCTCAGTGCTTAATAAGTAGGTTTTAAAGGATGGCAAATCTAAAGGATGGTGCATTTTGAGTAAACATAAGACGTAATCAAGAGCCTATAGAGGGGCTAATCCTGCAAGTTATAGTCAACACTTTTCCACAATGATCTGCTTGAATTAAGAAAGAGATTATAGTGTAGTCTTTCCCACTAGTCCAGCTGAAATGGACCAAAATTGATCACTTTTATGATAAAAGCATGAAACTTTGCCGGGTTATAACCAACCCTAAGACTAGCATTTTTGGATATGAAGCCAACCCACATTCACCACGTGACACAAGTACTGCGCAGGCACTAAATATGGCCTACATGAAAACGAGTTTGTCATTGGAAATTCTTCTACAATACCTATTTTAAAGTGGTTTTGTAGATAATGCTAGAAGTTATTGGTCAAAAACTACGATTGCATGGTGTTCTTGCGGGCCGGTTTTGTTCTTCATAAACATGACTTCGCAACCCCGGCTCAAACTGTCACTTCCCCTTGATCAGAATTAAGGACTTAAATATGGTTGCCTCAGAAGTATTGTTCCCTATACGTATCCCATTGGTACACTGCTCTACAGCTGAGTCCTACTCGAGTTTTAGTTCTTTACCTCGTCTTATCAAAGATAATGAGAGCTGGATAAACAGAGACAAGTGCAAGCCGAAATATGCAAATGAACTTCCTCTTTCCCCAAACGCTTTGGTTTGCATTTAACGCTTAAAACCAAAAAACCTCAAGTGAAGCCTACGTTCTAGCTCACTATATGGGGGTCATTAATGAAAAGTCACGTGCAAACTGCACTCACGGAGACGCAAGAGCGAGGGTGCCAATCAAAATGAAACCTGGCAGTCTAACGTAAACGCAGGGAAAAAGTGTCTTTCGAGCATGCTGGGATGTAGGATAGTCAAACGGGCAGTATCTCACTGTGCTTGAGTTTGCATTGATGTTCATTAAACTGCCCTTGCATTTACATTGCTCGCATGAACCAGTCCAAACACTGTTTTTTCTTTTATAAAGTACGACCCAAGAAATTGTCAGTAACATTCATTTAGGCCTTACTGGTTTTAGAAAAATGTCAGGGATAGAATAGAATAGAATAGAATAGAATAGAATAGAATAGAATAGAATAGAATAATTCTTAATTTAAACACGGTAAAATTAATCAGGAGTAGGAAAACAATTTTGAATAAACCTCACTACCCTAAACAATATGCAGAACTGTCTACAACTAACCTGACTAAGACCTGTATTATAGAAGGATTTCCAATGACAGACTCGTTTTCATGTAGGCCATTTTTAGTGCCTGCGCAGTACTTGTGTTAATTGGTGAATTGGGGTTGGCTCCATACCCAAAAATGCTAGTCTTAGGTTTGGTTATAATCTGGCAAAGTTTCATGCTTTTATCATAAAAGTAAACAATTTTTGCCGATAACAGCTGAACTATCTGTGTTGCCCTTGTGTCTTGTTACCATACTAAAATCGTGCAAAGGGCAAAAAGCTAAACAATTGTAACGTAAAAAGTCAAAAGAAAGAACAGTTACAAGTCGACAAACGCACCAAGTTCAGGTTTTAAAATATTTTTCATTAGAGGGACGCCCTCCCAGTAAAAAACTCCCAGACATACCATTCATGCATGCCAAACATTTGTGACCCTCAAACAAAGAGCTGGAAGTTTCATTTTCTCTACTTGGCAACAAACTATTATAGTCTTTCGTCACTGAAACAACTAATTATCTTGGCAAAAAATCAAACGTACTTTTTCATTGAAACTTCGACCTTTTTTCAGTTGAATTATACAGGTTCGCTGCACTCTTGCGTTTGAGGAATGGCCAACAGTAAGAAGTTGCTCACTTATGGTCAACTCATCGTAAAAGACTTGGACAAAGCCTACTTTCTGCCTCATAGCCGTTCTTCCTTTTGCAAAGACTCCAAGATTTATAACGACAAGAAGTACATGCATTTTGATTACCCTCTGAAAGACAGTAAAGAGAAGGATATCTTGCGACCCATCAGACATCTAGCTACCATTGGTAATGCAATCCCAACCCTGATAGACGCCAAGCCTGATAGCCTCCAATCAAATCACTGGAAACAGTGGCTGCCGGGTTTTCCAGCTGCAGAAGTGAAATCTGTTGAAGAGGGTTTCGCTGACAGTATCCCAGTTGTGACCACCGGACCGTTGCAGTCTCTTCCGGTTAAAAAGCACGCCATTAATCCGGAACTGCATGAAGAGTTACTTTGCAAAAGCACGATCCCGCGAATTGGAGTGCCGACCCCTCGAATCATGAATGAAGAAGATGTTTCCTACCCCTGTATGGTGAAAGTAGATCAATCCAGCGGTGGATGCGGAAACTGGTTAGTTCATGATTCACAAGAGCTGAAAGAGGTGGTGACAACGATTAGGAACAAGTGCAACTGGAAGGGAAAGTATATTTTGCAAGAATTCATACCTGGTGCTGAGACCATGGGATATTATTTCTACGTGTTCAAGTCGGGCGATATCCACTGGCTGGGTAGCTTGACCGGGGCTATATCAAAGAATTTCAAATGGGCTGCCGGAGTAGGTAACTGGAACAAGCAAGATGAGTTAAGGAAACCAGTTTACGAAGAATTTATTTTGCCAATCAAAAACTTTCTTCACAACTCCGGTTACTTTGGGATAGTCAACATCGAGATTTTAGTAGACAAGGAGGGAAGACGTTATCTGGTAGATCTAAACTGCAGGCTCCCCGGAGTTTTAGCTCAGTTATTTATGGCGCCTTATATGGCAACGCTTGGCTACCCCATGTCCCTAATGACAACCAGCAAAGTTCTGACATGCACAAGAAAGGAGCTATTTGCAATGGCAGAAGAAATCAATAATCAAAGCATTGGGAAAGTCATCGTGCTGGCTGCAGAGGATGTTGACGGAAAACTCAAAGCTGACCTTGCTGTGTTTGCTGAAACAATGCCTGGCATTCAAGTACTGATTGACGCATTGGAACAAAACAACCACTAGAAAAACAGAGGGACACCTAGGCTCTTATATCGTACGTAATTAGCAAAGTACTGCCTGGACAGAGGTACTCTAAATTGTAGCAATTAGATAATAGACTTTAATTTCTCAGTAAGTGCCTCATTTTAAAATACAAACAATTTGTAGTGAATGTAAGTAGTAGCATAGGTCCAGCATTTAGCTCCTTGATGGCTCATTATAGTAGTTCGAAGGGTGTCGGTATAGGGCACAAAGCAAATGCCGCCTAAGTAGCATATGTCAATCAAAGAAGAGAACCAATCAGAAGATCGATTTGCTTAAATACAAAAGATGAAGCAACCGGGTAGAGTAATTAAAGTACCAAAGTAACGGGTTTGAAAAGAAGAAAGAAAATAATAGGATGACTTGTTAAAATAAACTAATTAAAACTAATGATATACGCTATGTATGTGAAATCAAAAACTCTGTTAATCTAAAAGCATAATCAACATTGTTTAAATAAAAAGAATGAAGCTCTATTTAGAGCGTTTGTTCGCTATTTTTTTGGTGAAGTCCTGGTAAAACTAAGGAAAAGAATGAAAAAAGCAATAGTTGTAGCGAAATTCATTATATCGCGCTCCGCGTTATGCAACGGCTTCGAAGGATTTTTGGGCTTTTCTGATCCGTCAATCATCTTAGCGGACCTCTTGCGAAACACATGTTTACTTGTTCGAGTTCAAAACGTCATGGTTTGTGATACGTGATTGGTGGATTTCGATCCGTTTTGCTTGTTTTATGTTTCAAGGTTCGTTGCTTTGTGATCGTCCTGTTTCGGGCAATAATCGACTAGTTAAGTTTGCTTCGCAAATTTTTCTGATCCTTCTCATTCTTGTCACTTGCAAGATTAAAGCAACGTCTGCCTCCTTCCTTGGACAAAAAATCTACTCAACATCGCAATTTCCTTCGCTATTCTTGAACAGTCTAGAGTCATTCTCTGATCTCAGCTAAGCTGTGCGAGCACGTTACATTGAGATTTGCATTAACCCCGCCTTCACTAAATGATTGACGGGAAAGAAAAACCCAAAATCCCTTCGAAGTTTGCGATACGCGCAGCGCGATACAACGAATTTCGCTGTAAGAATAGAAACATCTAAATCGAAAAAAATCATATCCTTCGTGAGGATGATATGTTAGAGAATAGTGTATAAAACTAAAGCTTGTGTATAAAACTAAAGCTTGTGTATAAAACTGAAGCTTGTAAATCACTCGCCTTTTACTCGTGATTTACAAGCTTTTCGAGTGTTCTCCCAACATCCCAAGTGTGTTATCCCGCCGGTAAACCCATAGGAGGATGGATCCGCCCCTGTAATAGTTGACACTACCAGCTGCCCCCGCTCTGTATATTGTCGGTCAATAGTATTCTTGCTAGTTGTGTAGCTCTTTGAAATATACCGATTCATAATGAAGATTTTCACTCATATTGCACACAATAGGTGGGGACTACAATGCTTGCCCTTACAACAAAACAACTTCTTCTTTACTCACTGGTTATTTATTGCTCAGCAGTGTAACATTCTTTTAGCATCTTGTTCTCACAATTCTCTCTCCAAGATGGTTGCCGTTCTCTCTATATATTGTTGTTGCCACGTTGCTTTTATACTGACTAGCAAACAAATCTTCTCAGCTCTAATTAATGCTTACGCAAGTCTTCTATGAATGGTCAGAAGTGACTCATCGCATGAAACCTTCGAGGCGTTTACCTTGTCAAAATAATTTTCTTTCTTAATTTTCACTGTTAAGATTGGGCTGTCCAGTCAGTATAAAACAAGTGGGGCAATACAAACTTAGAAGGTATTGAGTTCTATGTAGAGTTTTTACAATACTAGTTAAAAAGATTCTAAAGTTGTTGTTTGAAAATTATATCGAGTAGTCTATCTAGGAAAGGTGTCAAGTTTCTTCTCCGAATGTTATTGGCTAACTTGCTTATGAATTAACTATGCGATGCCAAAAACACAATCTTACTAGTCTGATTACAACACGGGTGGCTAACAACTTCTTACAGGTCATTTACAGCTTTAAGAACCAATACAGCTATGATGTGGCCATGAATTATCTAACCTATTATTGTTATTTAGAACGGAACATCCGTCTCCACACCAAATTCATGACAGGAGTTAGTATCAGTTGATTATAAATCACAATTTCCATACACCGAATGCAAATATGGCGGACCTCTCGGCTGGCCCGTGTCTAGTTGCGCGAAAGCGAGGCTAGTGAGGCCTCAAGAGTTTTGTTTTGACTGCGCGTCTTAGAGATTAAGTCGATCGATATGGTTTGCTTCGAGTTGTTGCATGCCTGAGGGCCACCAAAAAGAGATTTTACTCTAGCTGGAATAGCCTTTACTTTCCCGAGATCTTTTCACAAAGAAAGTTGAGGATTCATGCGATTCGGCGCGGCGATGGGAAGCACTTTACAGCGAAAGTGTGCTCGCTTCACTTGCTTTAGATGAGAGGACTCACGAAAGTATTTGAATGAAATAATTTTCACAAGAGATGGTGCTGTTCCAAGATGTTTGCATGGTCTGTTATTTATCCAACAAAAGGTAAACATTCTCGAGAACGGGAGCATCCGCTGTGGACTGTAAGATCTTTTAGATTTCATGCTGAAAACAGCTGCATTATAATATAACAACAACAATAACAATCGCCTGTTAATCCTACAAGCGTGGCCTGTGAATCTGTGTAGAACCAGAAGAAAGCGACATATTTCAAGAACAGTCCTTGACTAAAGTGCATTGAAAAAACTAACAGAGGAATCGTTGCCAACTAAGAAAGTAAGAAGAAGGAAAAATGTTCTGGCAGAGAAAGAGCCTGCAAGTATTCGAGCATTGTATTTGACCTTGCGCGTGATCTATTTTAGCAACTTGTCGAATGATTTCCAGATAAACCAAGAGCAATTTCTCAAAAATTGCTTCTTTTATGGCACTGCTCAAACTCTTGAACACAGGATCGTGAAGACTGTGAAAACATTCGGCCTTGTTGTTTGTCGTTGTGTCCCTGACAGCGCCTAAAGATTGGTAAGTCGGGACGGCGGATTCACTCGTTCTCGAGGATATTTACCTTTCCTTGGTAAGAGAACGGACAAAGCAAACTTGAAACAGAACCATGAATCTTTCAGTTATTCACCCATTCTAATAGTTTCGTGAGTCTTCTCTTCTAAAGTGAAGCGAGCACACTTTCGTTCTTTTAACTCCTTGATAGTAAACAGTAAGTAAAGGGCCTCTATTCGCCGCGCCGAATTGCTTGAATCCATTTCTTTCCTCGTAAAGAACCTTAGCAAAGCGAAGATAATCAACTTTCGTCTCTGCTGGAGTTAAATCTCCTCTTTGATGGCTCTTAAGCACGTAACAACTCGAAGGAAACCATATTGATCCACTGAATCGCTAAGACGCGCAGTCAAAACAAATCTCTTGAGGCCTCACTAGCCTCACTTTCGCGCAACTAGACCCGGGCCGACCGAGAGATCCGCCATATTGGCATTCGGTGTATTGCTTGCATTTTTAATGCTTAACAAATACTCCCCACTTAGACTGAAACACGGTAAAGAACAACAGAAAATGCAAGCATGAAAAGTAAAACAAAAATAGAGATAAGTATATTTCAACATGGTATAAGTATGTGTAATCAAATGGTGACGAGTGAAATTAGGGAATAATGAGATCGATCTTCTAGTTCTGAAAACGCACTGAATTCAATTGGTACGGAACACTGGTTGGTTGTTTTGTTTTGTTTTTGGTTTTAAGATATTGACATCATAAACCAAAGTTAAGTGTGTGTGGATAAGAATATCGCTCAACAGACAGAGCTATGTAAAGAAGTATCGGTGATTGTATTTGACTTTCCTGGTTCAACTGATATTTTGACGTACACTTGCTCGTACGTTGAAAAATGCTTACGCCGCTTGAACATGCTTATTTGCACGTTTAAATTTTTTTTAGTTCCCAGTGTATTTCAATGTTTTGATACGTCGAAATATGTGTTTGCGAAGATAAGTGCGCTTTTCATATGAGATTCCATGACAAAATAACGGCCGTTGATGTCGGTTCAGCTGGTTATAGTGGTCTTTTCTAACAGCCCTGACTGTTATTCGTTATGAAGTATTTTATGGAGTTTAAGGCCTGGGTCAAAAGAGTGCTCGGAGCATATGAATGATTGGCAGTATCTCTCGTTGGGAGACCTAGAACAAAATGAATTTTTCCCCAAAAGTAAATCCTGAGGTTTTCTTGTGCGTTAACGTTTAATTATGGTTACGTGACATGTCACGTGACCAAAAATTGAAAATGAAGGAAAATGGCAAATTGGTGGCGAATTTACTTTGTTTCGACACGCAAATTTGCATTTCTGAAAGAGTATAAACATACTTAACTTTCTACGTTTGGAATGAATATACCCGAAGTTTAGGATTAAAGTTTTCAATAATTCAAGATTAAATTTGGGCATTTGAAAAGATGTTTGCCTTCAGAATTTTGTATTGAAACGCAATGGACGGTCATTGCAAACGAGAAGTGTTAGAAATAATTAATATGAATTAGAAAAATGTTATCGCTCGATTTCTTTTCTTAAACCGGCCACCAATTGTTCAATAATTTACGATTTTTAGAAAAACGGTCACGTGACATATCAAGTAACTTATTGACACAATATTTACACTTTAAAATGTTAAGTGCGTTGAGTTCTTTGTGTGTGCCAAATTTTGATTCAGCACCATTATTTATGCCGAAGTTGTAGCCAATAAATCATTTTAAACAAGCAAACCAACAATCTGGAACGTTGTGCATGAAAAATTGAGTGACTCGACTGTTATAACGGTAGCTCATCGGTTAAATATCATCACAAACTGTGACAAGATTTTAGTTTTAGACAATGGGGAAGTTAATGGGTTTGATAGCTTCCAAGTACTATGTAACAGACCCGGAAATAAGTTGCACGAAATGGCTCAAAAGACAGAAGCCCCAAAATAGAGGTGAGCAGTCCTCAATGTAGACTGTTTAGCTTATTACGAATTCATTCGAATTTCCACAATTCAAGGTGTTTAACTTGTTGTCAAGCCTGATGCCTCGCACAATTGCATTAAGGCCTTCCTCTAAGTTTTAGGGATCATTATTGATTTCTTTGTTTCTTTGAAAGCTCTCAGTGCTTAATAAGTAAGTTTTAAAGGATCTAAAACCTGAATGATGGTTCATTTTGAGGAAAATAAATTAGGTTTCTTTTGAGCATTTATTGAAAATTGTGGACAACGTCTGCAATGGTGCTTTTGAATTCTTCGATACTTATCTCAGAAGTCACTCAATGGAATTTGCTATAAGAAGTTTGGTATAGTAGATCGGTTTTGAGAATTTATCGTCCAAATACCTTTTCCAACAGACTGCCGAAAGTTTTTTGGAAAATGTATTATACTTAAGGAGGTTATTCACCGCAAACATAGGCGAACGGACGTGTATCCTGTTTATCGTGATACTTTGATCTAACCTTTTACTGCTATTGTTTATGCGTTTTCGTAAATGGCATTTATACTCAGTTTTAGTTTTAGGTTTCGAAAGCATTGAAAATGAAATTTTCATAACAGTGAACACCGTGAATTACAGCCAGTATTAGTGATGGCAACTTGGTTAAATACGCTGATGATTTCAGGACCCTTCAGACTTCAGTTATGAAGGACTATTGGGATAAATCTTCACACTAAGTTCATCAATATCTTGGGCTGGTCGAAGGCCAGGACAATCGTATGTCATGTAACTAAAATAGATGTAAAGGGACCCGGGGCCACTCAAAGAATCGAAGTCTTAAATGGGAAGGCTTCGCTCTGAGGTCCAACTCTCTATCCATTTTTGACAGGAAAGGTACCCCCTTTCAATGGAATACCTTCACTGAAAAATGGTACCGCTTTCACATACCTACTTAAATAAAAAGCCTGTAACTTATAATAATTATTTAAAATGGGTGCGTCTTTCCAAGCAAAATGTTTTACTTAAAGGCCTTTTCAAACACTCAAATGCCATATTTTCCTACTCTTCCATGTATAATTCAACTCATGAACCCCCTACCCTTTGATATACTTGAAACCTGAAAAGGATACCCCATTCGGATATGAGTACCATTTTAGCACTTCTTATCTAAACTCCTTATATCCATAGTTTTCCTTACTAGTATTGCTAATTGTGCAACATTTTTTTTGCTTTCTCTTCGGATTCACGTTATTTCTTTTCGGACTTTTAAACTTTGTAATTATTACTACAAGACTATTACTTTTTTGTTACCCTCCAGTCTTTTTCAGCCCCAAAGTGCCTATTCAGTTCTTTGGTCCCTGAAACTGATTTGACCCATAGTGGAGATATTTTATTAAGTTGATCTACAGCGAAAACCCGATTGTGGGGTCACTGTCGCCAGTGATAATGAATACTTTAAATGGAATTTTGTTAGTTATATAAGACTAACAATTTCTTTAAAATTATTTTTAATTTGTCTAATTTAGAGAAAGCATTAGTGTTAAAAAAGGCTCTGTAAAAAAGCCTACGCTGGTTTCTCCGCCAAATGACGTCTGAGAAAACGGGTGCAGGAATTCCACACTGATGACGCGTCACTATCGAGATCTGGGTAGTGGCAGTGCTGCCAAAAAAAAAATGTCGGCTGTTTTCTCAGACTATCTGTAAAGATGATGAGATGAAAAAATTATGATCCTTAGACCATTTGTGTAAATCTGCAGGTCCGGGATTATAGCAAGAGAGAATGGGCCAGGAAAGCGAATCTCTATGTCCCATGATCATTATTTGAAATCATTTTTAAGTTCGCGCGATTGCTGCGAAGGCTATTTTTGTCTATTGTTTCCGTGAGCCACGCGGTCTACTGTCACGTGAACGTGTTAAGTTCGCACGTCATGTTGCTTACTGTGCGTGATCTACAGTTGATCGGCAGCAAAATGAATCAATTACCCGCCAAGTTTAGCACACATGACGCTATTCTAACCGACCCATGAGGTGTCGTTCTTTAAATAACCACGCAGTATTACACAGAAGCAAGAACAGACTTCGAATAATGTTCATGGAAAGAGGGTCATGTATGAGGGATTCGCTATCTTATCTCATTCCCTCTTGGATTACAGCTAACTTCTGCAGTTTAGTCCAGTCAAACTCCTAATTGTCGGTATCAAACCGCCCCCTCGGAATGCCTGAGGGAAGCGCCACCAAGATCCAGAACTAATTTACAAAACTGTAACTGGTAAGCAACAAATTTAACAATCCATTAAAGGAAAAAACTTACTAAAACTTTAAAAATAGATATAATTTAACTTATTTCGGTTTAATAATTACATCGCTGAAGTATGCAAAAAAAACAATGTCAGGAGTGGGATTCGAACCCACGCCTCCATTCGGAGACCAGAACGCCCGTTCCCATTGCCCAATGGGAAGGAATGTTATCACCTTAAGTCTGGCGCCTTAGACCGCTCGGCCATCCTGACATCGGTTAATGTGCACTTGTTTACAGTATCTTAATATGCTTTTTTTAATTATTTTTTCATCTTTCTTTTACCCACAGATTATTTATTGGCGAGTCCGCTTTGTTCGTTTATGGCCCCTTGCATATTTATTCTTCCTGGACACATTAAACTTTCCATTTAAGCTTATTAAGATTGTAATTAGCACCTCATTTAGCAAATTTTGACAAATCCTGATAGAGTTATGCAGACAAAAAACAAGCAACATTTGGGGGAAAATCCACTTTCAATTTTGCCATTTAGCTGCAGCATACTATTACAGATTAGATTTGAAAGCTTTGTTGGAAAGAAAGCCAGCCAAAATTTCATGCGCCGATAAAGTGGGGAACCAAACTGGCTATAAAAAGCAAAAAAAGGGAAGAAGAAGAGTGCAAGAAAAAAAATGAAATAGATTCGCAAAAAAGTCCAAAGCTGCTATACAAAGACACCCCGGAGACAGAGGAGGCAGCTGAATCTCCGCTGCATCTTCGCTCTCAAGAAGGGCCTGCCGGTGGAATCAATAGTTTGAGGTCCAATCCAACTTCTTAGACAAAAACCATGATAATTTCATAGCTTAGCGACCCGTCAAGTTGTCTAAAGCACTACGGAGAGGGATTTTTATAAAACGTGTCATGAGCTTATTTGCCAACACTGCACTACGATTGATTATGGCGCATGATCACCGAGTGGAATATCAAGAAACATAAAGGATTGTGCTGCTTCTATGTTTTTATAACTTAACTCATCTACAGTAAAATTGCAGTCTCTATCCACTCCATGAAGAAATAAATTGTCCCGAAAATTGCAAATATACAGGAATTTAACGAAGATAACGAGATCGAAATGCGAGATAATTGTTTCTCTGGACGGCACTTTCTATCATACGTTTACGAAGAAGAAAGGCTGTTTGGAAATTCACCGTAAAATGAACGTCCCTTCTTTTGCTCCATTGTCTGTAGATAATCTGCAAGTACTGAGGATAGCCATCTGTCTTATTCAGTGTGGTTGAAAACACATATGCAGGTGAACATGCTTCAAAAAACACGAGACGAGATGGTGTCTGAAACGGGCCGTTTTATTGCTTAATTTTACCAACAGTTGTTGATGTGTATACTGGAATGCAAGCTAATTATGCTTCAGACCGACATATTTATATGCTGGCCATCATTTCTAGAAAAATCGGCAAGCTAGTATATATCATTTAAAATAAATTATGTACGATACCTTCTAAGGACGTTTCCCTGAAGTAAATATCCTTTCCAAATACATAGTTTTTTTTTAAACCCTTCCTTCTCCTCTTTTAGCCAACACCACACTACATTTAACTTGTGTTTACGCAAACTTGTCAACTTGCTTGTCAATAAAAGGCTCAAACCCTGGGCTGCCGAGTTGTTCAAATTAAAGCTGGATTATGATAACCTTGGGTTAGTGAAAATATATGAAGGTTTAAAAAGCTCATTAAGCTTAATTCATTTTGTCCACAACTTGATGATTGGACGCCTTTAAAAGAATACAGAAAAATTATCCGAGAAAATTCTTTTGAACAAAACAACGACAACATCTTTTATTACGTAAACACGATCATTTTATAGCGTAGCTGAAGAGGTCGTGTAAAATATAATGATAATATCACCCAAACTGAATAAATAAATAAATGATTGAGTAAGCTTACCGATAGGTACGTTTTAGGAAAACGATGGTGTTCGTAAGGTTGTCAGGATGGCCGAGCGGTCTAAGGCGCCAGACTCAAGGTGACAATATACCTTCTCATTAAGCAATGAGAGCGGGCGTTCTGGTCTCCGAATGGAGGCGTGGGTTCGAATCCCGCTCCTGACATCATTTTTTTTTTCTCTTTTTTTTGGTTAGCAAATTATGTGTTTTATTTATAGAGTTGTTTTATAAACGATGTCGTCCGTTTCTATCTAAAATTGGACTCGGAAATTGCAATTCAGAGCTCGTTGAAACGAATAATTAAAACGCTGAGGCCTCGAAGAGAAATAGCTCTTTTGAAATGAAAAGGGATTTATAGGGGCTTGGCCTCAATCTGCCTAACCTTTGGAGCGTTTGAGCTGAGGCCGGCGGTCTCCCTCTTTTAATAGCAAAACCATGACTTTAAGTACAGGGTCATAAGTTCTAGTAAAACTTGTAGAAAAAGGGCTGTAAAGCTGATATGTGCTAAACCTTCTTATTTAATAAAGCAGTCAGGACGGCTGTGGTAAATAGCCACTTTGTATGAATATTATTTTTATTCAAATCTTGACTTCAACATTTCATTTAACTTACAGGTGAAAAAAAATATATATTCCACGTGAAGACATCCCTTAATCAACAATCTAATTTTATTCACCTAAATGTGTATATCTTGCTCAGAAATGTGGCGGCAACAGGCAAGGCGGCTCGGGGCAGTTGCATAAGGATTCCGAGCAGCAGTCCAAGGTACATTTGGTTAAGTTAAGTCCCTTTTGATTCATCACAAGCTGTGTCGTTCATCATTCCACACATTGACTGCCGAAAATAAACCAAATTAGTCAATGCTAATAAACCATGTTTAAGCCTTCTTTGCCATAAAGAGCAACCTGGTAGGATTATTGAATAATTAAAACCAAGAGAGAATGATGGCATAATCATGAGCCCATCAGAAGGGCTAATCCTTTAAGTCACAGTCGACACTTTTCCGCAATGATCAGCTTGAATTTAGAAAAAGGTTATAGCGTAGTCTTTCGTACGCGTTATTTAATCCGGCAAGATTTTTCAGCTCAGTTTTGTTCAGTTTCTTTTTTCATCGTTTCTCTATGTCGCGGACAATCGAATCAGCAGGCGCCATTTGTTCAAAAGGTGGAGAGTTCTACTGATCCACGGGATAAATCAGTCATAACATAGATAACATAACATATTTGCTCACGATGGGATACGGAAGTTTGGAAGACTTAAAGGAAAACCCTTGCAAAACACTCATTACCATTATCACTGAGTTCATAAACTAAATTTACCACAGTAAAAAGATTGCCATGAACATACCCGAACTGCGCAAGTGAATGTATTAATTGTTAATTCGTTGCCTGTAACGTTGAATTGGTATGATACTTTTCCACATGCGTCAAATTTAACCCCTTCGGGTGCGTCAGGGGATGTGTCGCAGTCAATGATGCTTGTGACGTACTTGCAGAGGTCACCAGACGGTCCCGGCATGCAGTAGTAGCAGTGAATTGCCATCACTATGGTGGAACAAGGCCATTATAACTGATGATATCTCATATATAAATGGCGGTAACGTAATCATTTTTGCCTTTTGCTAGCCTCAGTTTAGCATGTGAACATGCAGACGACCAAAGTAGTTCACTAGATAACTAGACATATTGAATCAAAAGCCTAGTTTCCTGGTTTTGGTTGTTTCGATCTCCTCAAAGACAAGAGGCGCGTGATCGTCAGCGATGTTTCAGTGTCGGACAAGGGAATTTTTGGAAGTGTTTCGCAAACAGCCAAACATCGGAGAGCGAACCTCATGGCTGGCTATCTGCTTTTTTGCTCGATTTTTCTGTGTAGACAAGGGCTAGAAAAGTTCCACGAAGATATGGTTTCACGTGGAGAACTTTATAGAATGGACATTCTCTTTTTCAAATAGCGCAGGCCGAATTTATTTCCGATTACTGTTACCGAGTTTATATAACCAGGCTTAAGGAACTGTGTTACATCCGGGTTTTGAACTGCTGTTTTTGCAGATTTTCCAGTTACTCGAAATGACTCTTTAATGTTAGCAGAACCGAGTTTATACTTTTCATTACATAATTACAGCTTCATGACAACGAATGATCCCGAGAGTCATCACAATCCAAGGTTACAAGCAAAATTTGAAACCTACGGCTGAATAACTTTAACACCCTCCCTGCAATCTATTTTAATCTTCTACAATTTCTGAAGTGCCTTCTTTTGCATTTTGTGATCTTTATGTGGTGGCTAGTTTATGATGATCAAATTTGATGCCTAAATTGTGTCTCTCATAAAATTAAAATAGATCACCATTTATCATTCAGTGATTACAAGTTTATGATTCAGTTATCAGGTTATCAATTAACGGATAACTTCTACACAGATTGTCTAAGTTTCGGGCTCTGTAATTAGCAGTGCTGTAAAGGGTTACAATTATATTCAACCTTATGAGTTGTGGGTTGGAACCTTGCGTTTGTAATAATAAAGCTAAACTTGTATTAGGTGGCCACTGACAAGAAACCTGATGGTTTCCGCTGCTACTTTTTAAATTTACTTATATTATAGACACCAGCTACCATTTTCCAAAAATTAGGACGACTTAAGTCTGAAAAAAGACATAGAGGTTTTTCTTGAATACCAAGGCTTACTGCTAAAAATAATTTCGCTACTGGCTCAGAGTTCTCTCAGTCAAGATCGAGAAGACAGCCTTGGATAATAATCATCATTTTACTGATACCAGAAAGTTTAACAATAAATTATTCGCTTTGGTCTTTGACTAATTTTGTGTTGGGTAAACAATCGGTTTCCAAGACTTCTTATCGCCTTGCAAAATATTTGTACCAACAGCTGGGTGCAGCATACATTTCGCTAGAATACCACGATATCCTTGGACACATTTTGTTTCCAACGAAGCGATGATAAATTCTTAGAACAATAATTTTCAGCCATACGGTATTCCTCCACAACAAACAGCAGAATCACTGAGACTGAAGAAACGTTCCCGAGAAGGGTAATCTGATCTCATTAATTTGCCACCATTTAATTTCATAGCTACCATATTCTATTTTCATGCACGCAAATCTAAAATCGCATTGATCTTCATGCTAATAGCATAGAATAAGGTAATTTTCATTAAATTATGTGTTGATAAGTTAAAAAATTCTAAGGGCTGTTGCCAGTGATCAGGAAAATTGGTGTTAATAATGTAGAGGTTGTTCTTCATAATAAAGCTGAATTCCAAGCCTCAATGGGCGACTTAATGAGCTATCATTGAATAACATTTTGGTATTGTAAAATTACATGATTAATAAATGAGATTTTCCTTACCGCTAAATGGCAAAGCTACAAAAGCGAAAATGCAAAGAAAATAGCTGCCCATCATGGAAAATCCTTTAAAAAAAAAATTAAAGTCTGGTCCACGAGGAGCCGCAAGCGGTGATATTTTTGCACGGCATCTGGCGGCACATCAAAGAATTTGGAATTGAAGGGCAAATTCCTAGAATATCTTCGCCAGTTAAGCTAGAGAAAAGGTGTTAAAAAACCTCAGGATCCAAAAGAACACGTCAATCAAAATATCACTTGGACCTTTTCGCTAATGAAGAGCTATCACGCGGCTAAGCTTGAATTAGACATATATTGAAATAGGAACTCGTGCCAATGAAGTATCAGAAGTGAGTGGGAATCGGTCCGTGCACACTTCGGCCAATCTATTTTTTCATTTTTCCTACAAAAACGGAAAAAGGACATATTACTTATCCTCATCATTTTTCCATATTTCAAAGTACAGAAAAAAAGAGAAAAAAAGAAAATGGTCAGTAAAATCGATCATTTTTTCATTTTTTTTAATTTGGAAGTTAAATTTAAAAATACAAAAATACTGTTAACGGCTAAAAGCGATATTTTGCTATTTTTATTTTCTTGGTATTGTTAGACAAGTGAGGAAAATAAAATAATCTCCGAGTCCTAGATCATTTTTCTATTTTTCCGTTTTTCCTAAAAAATAGAAAAACAGAAAAATGAAAAAATCATATTTATTCGCACCATTTTTTCATTTTTTCCATTTTGTTCAAAAAATGAAAAAATAGAAAAAGGGCATACCTATCGCCTAATTTTCCATAATTCCATTTTAACAAGAAAAATGAAAAAAATGACAAGTGTTGCGAACAATTTTTCCATTTTTTCAATAAATAGAAAACAAACAAACAAAAAAAAACGGACAATTTTTCATCTTTTGTTTCAATGAAAAATAGCAAAGAAAAATGACAAATCATGAACATTTACTAATAAAGACAAGAAAAACCTAATCCACTTTAGACTTACTAGTTTTGTTAGACGATTTACACAGGGTCGGCGGAGACGTGAGATGGGGAGGGCGGGTGGGGACCCTTTAGTTTTCGGAATGCGAACGTAGTTTCATTCACTTTTGTATTTGATTAGCTGGTTCCTTTACCTCATTACTTAGGACTCATTCTGTGACCTGTTCTAACACTGCGTCATCGTAAAGTGTTTCTGTTGCATTTAAACTGTGGAACGTTACCCCATCCATCTTTGCTGTCCTCTTTCCAGGGCTGAGTTGCTTAAAAGGTGGATAACGCTATCCGCTGGATAAATAACTATCCAGTGATTAACGCAATTGGTTTCCCTAAAATACATAAAAAATTATCAGCCCGCTGGATAGTGATTTATCCGGTGGATCGTCGCTATCCAACGTTTTAAAAAATGTATGAGCAAATGTATGGGCCAGAGCATTAAGATGTTCTTTTCAGCGAGTGTATACTAGGCGCCTCATTATGTTTCTCCTCCATAATAATAATTCAATATACTTTACTCTTGCAATCCTAAAACACCCGTTCTGCGGCAAGATCCGTTATTTCGGCAGGCTAAGCATTCTACTTTTCAGCATCTATTTCATTTAAAAGAGTCTGACCTCTTCACTTGCGTGTTCTTTCTTTATTTTGTGTCCAACAACCTTCTTGTTTTCCCCTTAATCTCTCTCACGAACCGCTTTTTTTGTGCTGGGACCATAGTGTTGCTGGCATGAAAACCGTTGAGTTACCCCCCCCCCTTTTCCCGTACCAATTTTCAGGCCTTCTCCTCCTCCCTCGTACCCTTTCTCATATGCTTCATTTCCACAACCGATACGGTACGGTTTTCCCACCGCTTTCATCTACAGTCGACTCCCGACAACTTAAACCTTCAGGGAAATCGAGATCAAAAGTAAATGGAACTACGTCTGCATCTCGAAAACTAAGCCACCCCCCGCCCCCCCCCCAATTCCCCCACATATCCACCGACCCTGTGTAAATAACCAGACCAACCAAATTAGTGAGTCGATAGTGGATACGAATTAGGTTTTTCCTTTCTTCACCGTTAAAATATTCATAACTTCTCACTTTTCTGCGCCATTTTTCAAAAAAATAAAAAATGAAAAACTGTCTGAAAGGGTGTATCGTTAAAGTTTTTCTATTTATCCAAAAAAAGAGGAAAAATAGAAAATTGCTCGCAACACTTGTCATATTTTCATTTTTCTTGTTAAAATGGAATTATGGAAAATTAGGCGATAGGTATGCTATTTGTCTATTTTTTCATTTTTTGAACAAAATGGAAAAAATGAAAAAATGGTGGGAATAAATATGATTTTTTCATTTTTCCGTTTTTCTATTTTTTGCGAAAAACAGAAAAATTGAAAAATGAGTTAAGAATCGGAGATTATTTCATTTTTCTCATTTTCTAACAATAGCAAGAAAATAAAAAATAGCAAAATATCGCTTTTAGCCTTTTACAGCATTTTTTGTATTTTTGAAGCGGACTTCAAAATTAGAAAAGTGAAAAAATGATCAATTTCTCTGACCATTTTCTTTTTTTCTATTTTTTTCTGTACTTTAAAATATGTAAATATGATAAGGATAAGTAATATTTCCTTTTTCCGTTTTTGTTGGGAAAATGGAAAATTAGATTGGCCGAAGTGTGCACGGACCGGAATCGCTCCTGGTTAAAAAACTGGTTCACAGGGATATGCATCTCTTCTAGTTAAGAGAAGGGAATCAGAACTGCTTTTCATGCAAGAACAGGTTTTCTTCGGGCTAACTACAAAATTTCAGCTTATTTCACTCCTTGACATTGTCAAAGCGCATTTTGTAAAGATAACTTTTTCCGCTTTATCAGCTTTTTTTATATTCTATTCCATTAATGTTTAACCTCCCTCAAAAAACCAAATAATATAAATGCTGTTGTTAAAAGAAGCGTTTTACCTATTTTCGTGAATTCGCTACCCAAAGATCACTATGGACAGGGCAAAATTTCCAGGAGAGAGGCATTAATTTTTTTCCCACGAGGTTACAAAGAGAAAATGCAATGATTATTATTAATGTAACCATCAGGTATACTCTACCCACGAGTTTACGGACAGCAAATGCAGTGATTATTATTAATGTAACCATCAGGTATACTCTATCCACGAGGTTACAAAGAGAAATGCAATGATTATTATTAACGTAACCTTCAGT